ATCCACCCCAATATGACGTGTTTCATCATAACATACTTGACATTGCTCATGAAAAATATCCTTAGTCACTTTATAGAAATTGAGGTGGATTCTCATTTCATTAGAGAAAGATTGGCACAAGACATCACTTACCTTTATATGTTTTTTACCCTAAAGATCACGATCCAAAATTGCCCCATGTGTAAGTTACTAAACATAGTTGACTACCAAAATTATGGCAGTCTCTCTCTAGTGGTTCTTAGACACTTTATAAGCAATGTTAAGTGTTTACGTTGAAACACAACATATTTTGGCGGATTGTCATTCCATTAGACGGAGACTGACATGAGGCATTACTTTCCTTTTATATATCAAAATATAAAAATTGCAAAAATTATGCTCATTATACTTAGTAACGTACAAGTTAGTATAACGTGTTAGTGAAACCAAGATTGTAGGCAACCTCGGTGTCTATACTCTTAAAGTAGCACTTAGATATACGAAATTTTGTCCGGCATGATTTTCCAATAATAAGCATTCCAATATAAGCAGAAGGCCAACATTTCATTATCACTAAAGTCCGAAAGAAATCCCTCAAGGACGAACCTAAAGCTCATATAGATTAGCATTGCAATATATAGCAGCTCATAACAAAGAAATTAAAACATAATGTTATTCCCAAAACTATGTTGGGCAAAACTGATTCTGCAGAAAATATTTACCAAAGCTCTGGACTGTTAGTTTGCAGCGGGCAAACGATTCAACTTATACATCGAATAAGCAAAGCCGCTATCTTTTGGCAAAAGGAGTAAAAAACCTTCAACGACAAGTAAACTAAATAAAAAGACAAATCCCTTGAAAAGGAACATTAAAGATTCCCTCTTTAAAAATGATAACAATAGTCCATTGGAGCCATTTTTCTCACTATTGTTCTTGGTCCTCACCGTGCTTCTTACTCTTCTTCTTCTTATCTTTCTTCTTTTTCTCACTCTTTTCGGATTCCCCGTTGCTCCCGCCAACACTAGGTGAGGCCAAGCCCCCATCCTCCCCCGCATCCTTGCTTTTCTTCTTCTTCTTCTCCTTCTCCTTTTTCTCCTCCTCGGCCTTTGCCTCCTCACCTCCAGACTCTTCTTTCTCCTTCTCACCCTTCTTTTCCTTCTTCTTCTTCTTCTTCTCCTGACTTTTCTCGATCTTCTCCTCCCCCACTTCTTCCTCCTTTGCCTTCTTCACCTGCTCTTTCTTTGAACTCTTCTCCACCTCAATTTCACCATCAGACTCAACCTTCGCCTTCTTCAGTGGCACTTCAGGGCTCTCTCTCTCCTCCAGTTTTCGCTTCTTCCTATCACCAGCATCATCACCATTCTCCTCTCCCCCCTTATCTTTCTTTTTCTTCTTCTTCTCTTTCTTCTCTTCCACTTCCGTTTCAGCCTCCTTCCTCACCTCAGCTGGTTCATCACTCGCCGCCGCCATTTTAGCAATGATCGAATCTCCACCAACGGGAAGAGCCACATTTCTCAACCACTCAGCAGGGGTCTTCTCATTGGGCTTCCCATGCTTATCAAGAAAACCCTCAGCAACCATCTTCTTCTTCATTGAGGCCTTAGGACCCAAACCCCATTTCCTCGGGTAAGTGTCTCTATCCATAACCACCCTCTTAATCCTAGCCACCACCCCATGGTCACAAGTAGCCATCACTGCAGTGGTCATCTCTGCAATTCCAAGAGCAATGGCTTCCCCTTTGGTGGTCATAAGGACCACCTCTTCCCCATTCTCAATATCATTCTCAAACCTCAAAAGACCAGGAATCATAAGCTTTGCTCCATAACAAATGGCATTTACAGCCGAATCCTTCACAACTAATCTCTTATAACTGGTTAATAGAACCTCCAATGGCATAACCACTCTCCTCAGATAAGCCTCATCTCTGTAATTGTCATAGAGCCATTGAGCATCCATTACATCATGCATAGTCACCATGTTATCCTTCTCCCCCAAAATCCCTGATCTCACCCTTCGAAGCTCCTGCATATGGCCACCGACCCCTAAAACAAGGCCCAAGTGAACGCAGAGAGTCCTTATATAGGTCCCAGCCTCACAAGAAACCCAGAAAACAACCAGGTGCTTATCTGGGTCGTACTCCAGGAGCTTGCTTTCATAGATGGTTCGAATCCTAAGCTGTCTTTTCACTGCCGAAATCAATGGTGGGCGCTGGAAAAGAGCACCAGTGAGGGTCTCGAGAGCTCGAGCTACCTTTGCGACATCAGGAACAGAGGAATGGAGCCTAGCTATGCAAACATATTCCTTCCCCGCCCCTTGCTGAGATTTCACAAGGCGAGTAGCTCTATCGATGCAGACTATCAATGAACCAGTGACCTTGGGATCGAGAGTTCCGCTATGGCCAGTTTTTGAGACCCTCAGGATGCGTTTTATCCATGCCACCACCTCATGAGAAGATGGGTTCGCTGGTTTATCAAGGTTTATGATGCCATAACGAATGTACTCTTCTAATGGCCGCTTCAATGGAGAAAAACCAGAGGGGATTGGGGTGTAATGGCCTGTTCTCACATTGAGGCGGTCATAATTTTTTAGGAGAATAGGCCATTGAGAGGTGTCTAGAGAGGGAGTGAAGCTCTGAGGTTTTATGAGGTAATCCTTATCGGCCTGTTCTTCCCCTGAAACTACTGGTTCTTGGCTTGGAAATGGAAGGAGATCGTATTTAGGGGTTTCGGTCTTACCTGGTTCGTGGTTTTCTCCATCGCCTTTGACCTTCTTCTTCTTCTTCGTCTTCTTCTCCTGCTCAGAAGACATGGCGGCTCCTGTGCGCTCTTTGATGAGAGAGAAAATGGAGAGAGAGAGATAGAGAGAAGCGAGGGGGAGTGAAGTTTAAGTAAGGTGGGAAGGGGTTTAGGGTTTTGTTTTGGAGAGTAGAGTGCCCTAGGGCTTTTCCTTTCCTTTTTACCCTTTTTTTATTTTATTTTTTTGTTTTAGTTTTTCGCTTTTCTTGCTTGTTTATATTTGGGAAATTTGGGACTAAAGTCATTTGTGCTCATTAAGTATTTTTCTCCCTGACATTCATTCATTAACTGCCATGGACATTCATTCATTTAGTCATGGTTTGCATAAGGTCTCAACCTTAAACGATCAAAATAAGGCGCACCTCTAAATTTTATCATAAGTATCATTAAGATAGCTTGAAATCCATTTTCATCTCTAATTATAAAATTTTATACTCAAAAAATGGTTCAAATCAATTAGATCCATAAATATAGAAAAATCTTGAAAATAGACATTCTAGATAATATATTTCAAAGTATACTATTTTGGAGAATCAAAATCTTTCTTTCTTTGTTTCCATATTCATCTATCAAGGTCGAGATGAACAATTTGAGGGTTTCCCAACTTCAATACAGTTTTTTACGATAAAGTTTTTAGGTGCACCTTAATTCTAAATTTTAGTTTGTGTATTGGAAAAATGTACCGTGTTCTTATGTTTGTGTTTTGGAAAGATATACCACCACAGAAAATAATGCAATATATTTTAGTAGATAGCAATTTTTTAGTAGATGGCTATTTTATGGTGCTCCTTATTCGTGGAAAGTTCAAACGAGAGTGCTTTTTTATTAGCAACAAAGAACAATTGCTCGATCTGATACTCAATTCTCCCCAAAAATTGAAGGCTTCTGTTCATTGCATTTTCTCCCTCCTCAAAAATTAAATTTTTTATTCTTTTTTTTTTTTCTTTCACAATACGAGACCAATAGATTTTCAACACCAAATTTGGGTGGAAACTTGAAAGCAATTTTAAACTCATCGATTCGGATCAGGAGTTGTCGATCTAGGTCAGGAATCCGCTAGGATCAAATACAAAGGTAAGCATAGCAAAAAAAAAAAAAAAAGAAGAAAAAGAGACATAAGAAATTAGAGCCGATCGGCAACGCCATTTCATTCTACCCTGACCACCTATGCCTTAAATCGACTCCTATGTTGCAATTTCATGTTTTAGGAACTTATGCTAGGATGAGGCAATTCACATCGATATGGCCCGTGGTCCTTTTTCTTTCTTTTTTGCCTTTTATGGTGGTTAATGTTCACCTTGTCGCCCCTTAATACAAAGAAGGTAATTTTATCAAAGGAAAAAAAGTTTATATTGAGGAGAGGCTCTAACCAATATAGAGCCCACTTCAAAAATTTCACAAGAAAACGTTGTTTTGATGTTCAAATGGACCATCTCAACATCAACATGTATGGACACGCGACAAAAATAGATTTCAAGTTTTGAAAATAGTGTATCTTATAACACATTTTTGGACTGTCGATTTTTAAGATTTACAAGTTTCACATATCCACTCAATCTACACTATTTTTTAAGCTTTAAATTTTATAATTGAAGATAAAATATTTTAAGGCTATCACAAAGATTTTTAGTATTGAAACCACACATTGCTTAGAGACTTGTATCAAAAGGGAAAAACCATAGAGTCGAGGCTCTAAACAATTAAATTAAAGCCTGCCTCAAAAATTTCACTAGAAAAGGTTGTTTTGATCCTCAAATATCCTTAAATTGATCATGTCGACATCAAGATGCATGGACATAAGAAGAAAATAGATTTCAAGTTTTGCAAATAGTGTATTTTGTAATGCATTTTTTGACCGTCAATTTTCAAGATTTTCAAGTTTTCATAGATCTACTCGATCTACACTATTTTTAAAGCTTTAAACTTTATAAATAAAAATAAAAATATATTTTAAAGCTATCACAAAGATTTTCAATTTTGAAACCATATTTCTCGACACTATTTGAAGGTAAACTCTAATTTGATTGTTTAGAGCCTAGGCTTTACACAAACTACACCCCAAAAGGGCAAAGTTCCTTATAAAAAATGTATTTATGATATTAATTATTTAATATTTTACTATTTTGACTTAATTTAAAAAAACCTATAAGATAAGGGTGATCTGGGGATAGTTAAAAATAAGTATTAAATAGTTGATGAGTCACGTTTATTTTGATAAATTTCTCTATACAGAAAACGAGATACCTCAGGATTTACAGGTGCATTTTCTTTCGCTAAACATCTGGTAAGACCGACAAACATATAGTTTACAAACAGCACAATACACATCATCTAAACCGTTTATTTGTCAATAATGAACGATTCAGATGAATTTTTCCTGCCCCTATCAGACTAATGAACTGCTCACCCCAACCGTTGATTGTTTGGACTTGAGATTGTGGGTGGTTTAGATTGAGTGAGTAATGATAATAGGTCACTCTAGCGACCACCAAAAGTCATTTTCGAGTGAACTTTATTACACCTTATTTTGGGTAAAAGAAGGTCCTCATAATTTTTCTGGGATATAGGTCATACTCATAAGAGATGCCTATTTAACATTTCAAAACTATTCCAATTAAGATCATGTGTGTTTTATGGGTAAGTTAAATCAAAAGATATAAGTAAAATGTTAAATTGTTCATCGTACTTTGATAAAGTTCCAAATTATATTTTGAGGTAACCATTGCCTTTTTTTTTCTTTCCAAAACATTTAAACATAGTTCTCCAAAATTTGTGGTATTCCAATCAAAATAATATTTTTTGGTACAAATTGCTAAGCACAAGCAACACTGATAGAAACACACATGACCACATACAATTGACCCCAAACAATCATTTTTAGTTGTGTATGTAGAATTAAGTTATTAAAGGTCTACAATCGACCAAAATTTAAACCAGACTTCATCTAAAGAAATGAGAACCCAATCATTCAATTTTGTATGAGGTGCTTGAAGGTTTTATAAACAAGGTCTAGTTACGTGGACCATACCATACTTATTACGATCGGATCACCTACCAAACTAGCGAGGGGTCCAGTTCAATTGCCAACCGAATTGGTTAGATTTGATTAAAAATATTAAAATAAAAATATAAAACATAATAAAAATAAAATGGCGTGGATGCTATATGGTTGCAACCTTAAACAATCCAATCAAGGCGCATTCCAAAATTTTATTATAACATGTAATTTTGATATAAAAAATTCTTAGGATTATCTTAAAATCTATTTTCATATCTAATTATAAATTTTTAAATTCTAAAAATAGTTAAAATCAAGTAGATCTATAAATATATGAAAATCTAGAAAATACACAGTCTAGATAATGTGTTGCAAAATGCACTATTTTTTGGACTAAAAACTTTTTTTTTTTTTCATATTCATACATCTCGATATCGAGATAATCAATTAGAGGATTTTTCAACATTAAAATAACATTTCTGATAGATTTTTGAAGTGCATATGTGATTCTACACTTTAAGGTTGCAACTTTATATAAACTTTTCCCAAAATAAAATATTCTCAATTTTGTTTAGTAGGTTGAACCAGTCAAAATTGAATATTCCGATAGGCTAAAACCAATCAAATATTGATTTTGACTCATTCATGGCCAAACTAGATTTTTGCTTTGGATTGGATCGAAAAGGCACCTATTGGATCTGGTAGTCTAATCGGGTCATAATAACCAAGGAATGGCTCCAACCAATGCCTTGAATAGATTACTCTTATGATAAGCTCCTCTTGTCCTCATCTGTTCATTTTTTGGGCTCTGATTTTCCAAATTCACACATGAGAAAAGTAAACACACAACCATTGTTAAAAAAAAACGTACTGCCCAGTGCCTAAGCTGTCCAAAAAGGATGGGCACGTCACCCAGGCCTAGGCAGTAAAACTGGGTGATCTGTCATTGGGCAGTTGCCTAGGCGGTATGGAATCCACCTAGGCGGCCGCCTAGCGCCCCATCCAAAAGAAGAAAAAATGATTTTTTTTTCGTTTTGTTATTTTGAAATATTTAAAGGTTAAGAATGATGGCTTTTAGGTTCATTTGAACCCTAAACCCACAAGAAGTCCCTTTAGACTAAAAAAAACTCCAAAAAACTATATTTCATTGGATCGATCATCAAATCATTGAAGTGTTTCTCAAAGTTTTGGAGTTCAAGCAACCAAAGTAAGTGCATTTTTTAGATTGCTTGCTTTATTTTGAGATATCTTCTTCAGGAGTTAGTCGGAATGGAGATCCAGGTTGAAAATATGGATACAACTCGAATCCAAATGACAAAAATTCCGTCAGATGCAATTTTTGTGAACAAAAATACAAAATGAAGCATAAACCGATTTCAGAAACATCTTGCCGATATTAAAAGGGATATTGTCCTTTGAAAAAATGTTCTTGAAGCTATCAAAGATGAGGTTAAACAATTTTTAAGTTATGTAAAACAAAAACAAGAACAAAATCCTTGTTATAAATCTATTTCTGCTACTCCTAGAAAAAGCAATTCGAGTTAGAAGTATGGATATAACCCAACACCAAATGATAAAAATTGTATAAGGTGTAATTTTTATTGAAAAAATATCAATGGGGGTATTAACCGATTCAAAAAACACATTGTTGGTGTTAGAAGTAATGTTGTTTATTGTACAAAGGTTCCTGAAGCAGTTCAAGATGAGATTAGAAATCTGTTGAATTTTGAATAACCAAAAAATGATGAAATAAGCATTGTTCTATGAAGTATCTTCTCTAACTTCTAGTTGTCGAAATAGTGATCCAGGTTGAAAATATGGTTATGTCCTGAATACAAGTGATAAAAATCGTATTAAATGTAATTATTGTAAAAAGGATACTAATGAGGGTATTTACCGGTTTAAAAAGCACCTTGCCGGTATTATTAAAAAGGATGTTACCCAGCGAAAAAATGTTCCTGAAACTACCAAGAAAAAAATTATACAATATTTGAGTTCAGAGAAGCACAAAAAGAAAAGTACAACAGCCAAAACTTCTAAACCCTCGTCTGCACAAACTACACATACTAGTAAGAAGAAGATAAAAGAAGAGGAAGAAGAGGTAGATTAAAAAAAAAAAGAGGAAGATAAACGTTATAGTGAAGAGAGAGATGACTCTGATGATGGCGGCCTCGACTCTGATACATATAACAAAGCTTACACTATTGATATTCCTTTTGATGATGATGATGATTGAAGACTCTTGCCTATTGATGCTGAGTGTTAAATCTATTGACTGTTATGTTGAATCTGTTGACTGTTGACTTTTGTTAAGTTGTATAGTCTAGTGTTGAATCTGTTGATTGTTGTGTTAACTTTGGTTAAACTGTATATTTTATAAATTTCTATATATTTTTGTTGTGTTGGGTGTTGATTTTTATATCACTTGTATGGTTTTACAATTTACTGTTTTAACAATATGGATTATCCAAATTCTCTTCACCGACTTCTTCTTCTTCTTTCTTTTTTTTTTTTTTTCCTCAAGTTGGATTGTTGGAATATGGTATATTGGGACAATGGGATTTTTATTTTTTTTCAATTGGGCAGCCGCCCAGGTTCTGAACGCCCGCTTAGGCACTGGATTCACAACAATCCAGTGAAAATTTTATTTTTTAATCAGCAGTACCAAATTCAACCAAGATAAAAAAAATATTTAACCAGAAAAATGGCAGCTCTGACTACCATAAAATCCAACTAACATGGTTTTAGCATCATTCCATCTTATTCAATCCAAAAAGGATACCAAAAAAAGAAGAAAATCCACAGTAGAAACAAATCACATGTTCATTGAAGGTGCCAAAAATTGTCCCCTTTGGCTTAAGGTCTTAAACAGGGATTATTGCAAACTTCATGATGCATCAGGGCATCCCTCTCTGAGCTCTCACCTGCACAAGATGAAGACCATTTCCAAATCATACAAAACAAACCCCACAAAAAACTTTAAACAAACCAGCGACGCAGTATTTTGATCAGAGAAGGTACTTGCCGAACCACAATTTTTCCTCTCTATCAAACTTTTATGTTATTGTAATAAGGGGTAATTATGATTGCTGTTAAAATACCTGGATACTCATTTATACTAAGCATTATCGAAAACAAGGGCAAGCGAACACAAAATAAGTATTATCGGAAACAAGGGCAGGGAACACAAACACACAAACACAAACAAGTGCAAGCCACCACAAACACATACAAGTGCACATGCACACACACAAAGACTACATGGATGGTAGAATTATATGTCATCATCATCACCATCACATTTATAGCCTTTTTTCAATTAATTGGAATCAGCTACACGAATCCTGATCCTCCATTCTGCTCTATTAAATAAAGTCATAAATCTTCAAATCTTTTTAGACTACTTCCAACCATGTCTTTTTTAACCTACCCCTTGTCATTTTCAGTCTTTTTACATGAACTTACTGTCACCTCCTAACAGATACTATACTTGATCGGCACCACGCATGACCAGCCCACCTATGTCTACCATCTCTCATCTTATCGCCTATTGATGCTACACCTAAATTCTCCCGAATGAATTCATTTTGAATTATATCCCTTCTTGTCTTGCCACTCATCCATCTCACTATCCTCATCTCCGTTACCCTCATTATATAGGTATATTATTTGCTACATGTAAACCTGTATCGACAATTAAATACATGCCAACATGTCCAAAATGCGCTAGACACGCTTACTGTAGATGTTTGAAAAATTTCTTACACCAACACTATGTGTCGACACACAGACACGCCGTACCACAATCTTATGTATCAAACATGTTTTGTTCAAGGTATTTGAGCCCACGACCGTTCAAGCAAATGTCAAACTCACTAGCCACCGAAACACTGCTTTGAATTATGTTAGATTTTGGAATATATATTAGAAAGTGTACCCGCAAGTAAGGCTTGCCGTGCATATAGTGGTGCATTTATTAGAGGTACAAAATAACATTCATTGGTGTATTCATTAGAGGTACAAAATAAAGAGAGGAGTGCCTTCCATGAACATATTTAATATGCAGTTAAACTTGCAATTATTCACGGGACATATTTAGTATGCCTTTGTTACTTATTTATTATCATATTAATATGGTCCCATATGGATTAAGAAACTATCCCTTATAGAAGAAGTTACTTGTTTTATCAAAAATTTATTTTTATTTATTTTTCACTGAGTAGAAGTTTTTGGTTCATGGGTTTGAACCTATATCTAACTTTAAAATTTTAGATATAGTTTACAATCCAAAATGTAGAATACCTTTGAGTGATTTGAACTTGCAAGTCTCTATTTCAAAAATAATGCTCCTACCAACACAAAAGTCAAAGATATTTGACATATTTATACAAAACATTACTACTAAAATAATCTAAAAATAACCAATTAAAATATAAAAGAAATCGCAGCAAAATATATTTCTATTTTTTACATAAAGTGAATTAATACATTTTTTTTGAAAAATTTGAATTTATATTTTTAAGACATATACTAAATACAACACCCACGTCAATTGCCCATCTAACAGTGCCTCACCCCAAATTTTCACCCCAATTTTTCAAGAGATTGTTGGTTCTAAACATTTGGGGCTCAACATCTTTATTTTATGGGAAAATATCTCCGTATCTTCTATTTTTAAATTTTGTTTTTAATAAACTTAAAGTATCAAAACCTATCTTGAAGCATGAAAATTATAGACATTATATCTTCTAACCTTTTGGAATAACTTTATCCACTTTAAACCTTTATTTTTAACCCAAACAAATCTGAGATTGACATGTCTTTTCTAAACTCCATTTTCTCTCTTCACATGATATTCCCCAGATTTCTCTCTTCCCTATGATTCCCCGAACCCCTTCTTTCTTTCTCTCTCTCTCTCTCTCTCTCTCTCTCTCTCTCTCTCTCTCTATTTCCCCTACTCTCTCTCTCTCTCGCTCTCTCTCTCTCTATTTTCCCCTACTCTCTCTCTCTCTCTCTCTCCCCCCATGTTTCCCAACCTCTCACTCTCACCCCAAACCACAGAGAACTCCATTTGTGAGCAAGCTTATCCTCACAGTTATCCCCCTGGCACTGATTATTACCACTAATTTGCATCTCTCTAAATGATGGGAAATGAAATAGAGAGCTCGAACCAGTGGGTAACTTGTTATGTATATCACATGGGGACACAAAGTCCATGCCTTCAAAAATAGAGGGCTTATACATGATTTTCCACTTAATTTTCTTCACTGAAAAAGCCGGTACCATCAAGCACTCGCCCATTGCTGATAGCATCATACTTAGAAGCTACTATAGTGGAATCCAATTTTATTTTAGTAGAACCTGTCAAATCTGGCAATCCAATAGGTTCATTTTCATTTCTCTCAATGGAAAAATCATCATCTCCAATACCTTGATGCACCCTCACGCAGCCCAGCCCGGCCTGATGGGGCCCTGGCCCTATCTTTGACGTTGAAAATAATAATAATTGAAAAAAACAAAAAGTGAGGTTAAAAAAACAAAGAAAAATATAGGACAAGGCCGGTCGGGGCCGGGCTAGCCTTTCATGTCCCTTTCCCAGGCCCGGCACTCGGGCAGTGGTGGCTTGGCCCTCTGGTCACATTTTGTGGCCCAAGCCCAACTTTTCAGGGTCAGGCTGGGCTGGCCAGCAGGTTGCCAGCCCCATAGAATAAAGCCAGAGGGATCTCTGCTAACCTCGCTGTTTTTATATTCACCATTGCTTGATAATTTAAAAAAGGACCTCGAATCAATCTAAAAACAATCAAACTCCACATACGAAACAGTATCTAAATCAACATTACACATTCTTCTAAACATAGTTATGAAGTATTACCTATGCGCAATGCATATTCAAAAGTGGTATATTATAAGCTTTCAAATAAGTATGTGTGATCAGCCTACTTAGTGATACATATATCATTGGCTCAGCAGAGGCAGCCTCCATGATATATTTTATTAATATTCATTAAACAAAATTGTTATTAGCTTTTTATAATGGTTTCTAAGATGTGTTTCAACTTCGCAAATGCAACCTCCTATAATCTTCATAAAAAAATATCCTTAAATGCAAAAACATGACTACAACAGTATAATTTTGCATCTCAGATTTACTGTTTCTTTCTATTGCTTCCTGGATTTTATTTTTTTTTTCTGCTTTGAGATTTACTTCAAAATACACATAAACAATCCGCATAGCTAAAGTTTGTTAAAATAAGATCATATGGTTTATACCACTCAATGGCTACTTGATAATGCAATAGAAAAATGTACCTAGCTTACCCAATCAAGGACTTTGCACATGTACATACTATCTTATAAACTTAAAGGCGCAGCACAATTAAAGTAATTAAACTTCTAAACAATCCCATGTACAAGAATATACTCCTTTTTTTTATAATTTGAAGAGCAATTTTTTCAACAGCAAATGCATTCAATGAGCACAGAAAAGTTTCCCACAGAACCTTCATATCATCCCAACCCTACTGTAAGACATCAACATGGGGCAGCTAGGATGGCCCCCACGGTGCTCATGATTTACCCTTGTCAATAAATCATTTTATCATTAAAATACCAAACCATTTTTAAATCCATGGTAACCAACATCCCCATAGCCAACTTCCATCATCATGGAAAACCTGGTTTTGGCTTCAATTATTGACTTAGTGCCACACTCCAATTGTGGACCATTTAAAGCATGAAAAGCTCTTTCTCTGATCAAATCCCACAAGATAGATGCACTCTTTACTAGTTTACTTGACCATCTCACAATTGGATCTGACATATCGATATGTACATTATTTCGTACTCTCCGTAAACCCTAAAGTATTACAAGACGAAAAATCATACGGGACTCTACCACCTACAAAACAGCTTCACAACAGTCCACCCAAAAGACTCAACCATTATTGGCATTGCACATGAGGATCCAATTAAAAAGCCACATAATATAACTCCCAAGCCTTCTTGAGTACACAGAATGGAGGGGATGTAGACAACAAGAATTGGGCACCTTGGTGTTAAATAATTGTTATCCTACAAGCATTTTGTAACCAACCAAAGCAACAAGAATACCTGAGAAGTGATTATCACCCAAGCCTACAACATATAAAAGAATGAGTCGACATGAAACACCCCTAGAATTCACTCGTCTAGGACATCCTATCTTTTCTGTATAAGTTTGTCTAAATCGATCCTATAATCCCTGTTGATGAAATAATGATTCTAATCTTATTGAAAAATCCCTGATTTCCACTAGTATTAGTAAAATCATATTGCCCCAAGAGATCCCCACCAAAACCAATCTGGCTTCTCTCCAAATTTCCACAATCACTATGCTAATATAATCCTGTTCATTAGTTTGAGCCTCCTTATCCCAATACCCTCCAGTTTCTTAATCCTACAAATCTCCTCCCACCCATCCAGATGGATTTTCTGACCCTTACACAAAACCCCCCCCAACCCCCCCTCACCCCACCCCAGCCCAACAAAAAAACACATACACACCACAAAAACAAAAAAGTAAAAAATAAAATAAAAAAATAGCATTACAAGGTCATCTATTCCAGGAACCCTCTAAATGAAAATCAAACTGCAATGTTGGCATTCATAATCAAATGAGCAAAGACCCAAAAGACCAAAAATACAATATCAGCTTGAATAAATTCCATGTAAATTAAATAATCCTTAAGCTGCTTCAGGCAATTTCTCGCATCATAAAAATACCAACAATAAAAAAAATGGATATGGTCCAGATAACTACTTGAAAAGTATTTAAGAGCCATATCAGAATCTAATATCCACAAGTCATACCTAAATCAATCAATAATCACCACTAATTCAGGTAAAAGATACTAAATAATAACAAAAAGGCAAATTAGGGTAAAATGCAGAGAGCATTATAGATGAGGCAAAGTGATACCTCTTGTGGCGCTGAACGAATGGGGAGTTCTTCGCATCCTCCTCTGTGAAAAAATTAATTCAGAAACATCAAACTACTGTACCATTGATCAGTTCATTAACACAGTAAATGCAATGAAAAAACAGCAGGAAAAAAAAAAGAAATTGATGAAATAGATGGATGGAAAATACCAGTGAAGCCAAGCGTGAACTTGGTGATGATAGTTCCAGTAATGGCGAATCCGATCAGGAAAGGCCAATTCCTGTTCCATTCTCTCCTGAAGAAAACCGGCCATGGGTCGAAGCGTGCCATCTTTCTCTATCTTCTTTCACCCTCTCTCTTCTTTCTCTCTCTAAAAATACAACAGAGCCCTGGTTAGCAGGTAAGGGCTTGGAAAGCTCAGTGACCATACTTATAAGTTATAAGGTTTTATTGTTGGCACATGCTCATTCGATCGTTTCAATGGACGGTTCAGATTCTTTCAAAAGTGATTTGCGAGGAGGGACATTGTGATTCATGTGACCACGGTGATGTGATCATAAGGTACTAGCCATCCATTGTTTGGATTGGACGGTGATTGAGAGAGTGAAACATGACTGGAATGGTGTCATGTTTGGCTGGGTCCCACTAGGTCCATCCCCGTTCATCACATTTATTGGACGATGCCAACTTAATGATGCTTTATTTTGAGGTGACTGTCTTGATCATTGTTATTGTGTTTGATACGTGGATGAGTTGGCTTCCACAATTGTGGAAGCCGCCCATGTTTGGTTCACATGAAAATATTTTCGAGAAATATTGTCATGTGAAAAACTGCTCTCTTGTGATTAAGTGTGGGAACATTTTCACACGAATTAGCTGCCAGTTGGTGTGAAAAGATACAATGGGACCAATTGGCAAAATCTGAGCTAGACTAGACGTGAGCCGTGACACCAACCTGAAGGGGAAAAAGGATTCATAATCAGGTGTAGACTTAGATTGAGAGCTGGGTTTAACTGGGTGTGAACCCTGACTCAGGCCTGAAAGGGAAACGGGGTAAGCATACCTAGACCTGACAGGGGTCTAGGTTCAGACCCAGGGGTGGATACAGTTAGGAACCTAGGCTGGACTACGCGTGGGCACCTTGCTTTTACAGAACCATCTTCTTTAGTAATCTTATCAAAGTCTTCCAAAACAGACGAAACATTTTTACGTTTGGAGGACGCAGATGACATCTCTATTGTCATATTTTGCTGATCGTTTTCCTACATTAGACATTTTACTAACAAAAAAGAACAGAACAATATCAAAAAAAGGAAATAGCACTAGAATTCTAGAAATGCACCACAACAGTAGCATAAAATAAGAGAAATACAGTGATATTTTTGCTCTCAAGTTGTTTTCTCTACCCCATGATTCAAGAAACTAAATAAACTCAGTAAAAATAGCAAACCAATTCCTTTGGCAAATCAATCTTAAAAAACTAGCAAACCAATTCCCTATTTGATAGCATCTATTCTAATACTTTCATCAAAAGCATAAGAGGCAATCTCAGTAGCCATATTCTTCCATAATTAGTTTCATAGAAGTGAAAAACCCCATGAACTCCGAGGTCTATCTAAGAACTAAGTCTTCCAGAATATTGACAATTGCATCTAAGAGCACACACATAAATTCAAATGGCTAATTCACTCAAATACTCATCTAAAATGACACAAATGAGTCTCTAAAACCAAAGACATCAGTAACAACTAAACTATCAGGCCTTAAACCCATTGAATCATTCACAGAAATATGCAAATGACAGATCATGAAGTCATATATAAGAATCCAGTAAAGACCAAACACACAAAAAACAATATCCCTAACACCCTTGTACACACTGCTTTGATAAAAGATTAAACGCATGAAGAAATAAAATGCAATGGAAACCTGAAAAATCAAGAACAGCATACAAATCTACAAATCTAACACTAAAACCTAATAAATGGTTTAAGATAATTCCTACAGAGAGAGGCAGAGTAGATACAGCAAAGATCTTACCATGGAGCAGGAGCAAAACCTAGAAATAACAGATGAAACCCTAAAACTGAGATATAGAGACGAGATTTGCAAAGAGAAACTATAGAGAGAGACGAGAACTAGAGAGAGAAACTATAGAGAGAAAGTGAAACTGAGATATAGAGACGAGATTTACAAAGAGAAACTATATAGAGAGACGAGAACTAGAGAGAGAAACTATAGAGAGAAAGTGTTACAGGGAGAAAGCTCTCATCATTGATGCGGCTAAAAAGAAACCCTAAGGTCGTTGCTAGATCGCCTCGCCCTTGGTTGAGGAAACCCTAACATAATTTAGGGTTTCTGCAGGAGATTCGATTAGATTCAATAAAACTAAAAAAATCAGAAAAAATTACAGAGAGATGAGACAGAAATCTAGGTTTTAGCGGATTCTTTTTTTTTTTTCTGTCAACAAAAACCCTAGAAACATGATAACAGTAAATAAAATTAGAGAAAAGATTGGGCTTACCTGTTTGTAGCGACTGAGAAGAGCACTCGTAGAGGCAAAAGCAGAGCAACCGCGGCTTGGCGCAGAGCAACGTCCCTTGTATGCCCACCTTTAGATTTTATCATGACGTGTTAAAAATGGTACATGGCTTATTTGGAGGATTTTTCTTGGGGTGAGGTTTGTATAGAGCCTAGGCTCTAAACAATCATATTAGCCTACCTTCCAATAGTGTTGTGGTTTTAATACTATAATTTTTTTGTGATGCCCTTATAATATATTTTTATCTTTATTTATAAAGATTAAAGCTTCAAAAATAGTGTAGATCAACGGATCTATGAAAACTTAAAATCTGGAAAATTGATAGTCCAAAAAAGTGTTACAAAATATATTATTTTCAAAACTTAAAATCCATTTTTTTCTCATGTCCATGTATCTTGATGTCGAGATGATCAATTTAAAGATATTGGAGCATCAAAACAACCTCTTCTAATGAAAGTTTCGAGGTAGGCTCAAATTTGATTGTTTAGAGCCTCGGCTCTATATAAACTTTTCCCTTCTGGGATCCACTTCAAAATCACTTGACCATAGTATATCGAAAAATCAAGTTCTAAAAATGATTAGAACCAACATATATGATAGTAAAAGGATTGGACTTATATGCAATTTTAATGTGCAATATTTTTTAAATTTTTTTCAAAAAATACCAAGAGCGTGTAGTCAAGTTTATGAGTTGATATTTCAAAGTTGGTTTCGGTTTATATAAGTTTGCAACCTTACTTATATAAATAAGGTAGTGGCGTTGTATACCATTTATTGTATACCATTTATTTTAGTTGGTTGTTGCAGATTTAATATGTATTTGTAGAACACTATCAAGAAGTGACACGTCTTTTAAAATAGTACCAAATCTACCCGTCCAAATAAAACGGACGACATGGATTACTACAACCTTATACAAACTTCTTCCTTGTTTTGAAAATACACAAGTAGATTTGCACCTCTAAGCGAATTTGAAAAAGCTTGGAGAGACTAATCTAAAAATGAAAGAAATATTTATCAAATCAGTTGTAAAAAATGAATAGTTTAACACATTGCCATTATTTTGATTTAATTTCAAAATGCCTTTACAAAAAGTGAAAAATACATAATCTTTAGTCAGAATAGTTACAATGAGTAAAATGTCATGGGGAAGCTTTATATGTTCTCCCTACAACATAGAAGTTCTATCCTCCCCCTACAATCCAACCGTCCATTTTTTATCAAAAGAGCTACTCACCGTTTGATCTTAGATCCGATATCTCAAAGTATTTTGTTTTTTTGTTTTTTTTTATACAAATTGTATGAATATGAAATTTGGTAAGTGCCATATTCTCATTGGGACACACCTATAAAAAAATATTAAAAATAATTATTCGATAAAATATAATTATCAAAATACCTCTTGAAACTTTCAAGGGTATTTTGGTTATTTTATTTATTTTTTATATATTTTTTGCCGGTGCGAGTTTAATAAAGTAATGGACATTCAAATTTGGTGTCAAAACAGTTTATAGAAAAAAATTAAAAATAAAATATGATAGAGACGTGACATTGTGATTGGGACAATCTTAGCTCTCCATTCAGAATGGACAGTTGGATAAGGAGGAGGATAGAACTTCTATGCCGCTAGGGATGCATAGAAACCTTTCCCAAATGTCCCGTATTTCATGTATTTTGATTTTGGGAAAAGCTTTCTATGCTTCCCTTGCATCATATAATAACTATGCCTCCCTCCTTCCCAGCCATCCAATTTAATGGGTGGCTTTCTATGCTTCCCCTGCATCATATAATAATTATGCCTCCCTCTTTCCCAGCCATCCAATTTAAATGGGTGGCTGAGATCACTCTATTCAAAATGTCACATTTTGAGGGTTACAAGCTTAACCAATAACCTTCAATGATGCCCTAATAGAGAGAAAGCTAGGTGCATGATAAATAGAAAAAAGGGCAGGGAGAAAGAAGCCCGTTTGAGAAAGAGAGAGAGTGGGAATGGGGAGGACGGCCAGTTTGAGACAGAGTGTGTGTGTGGGAGAAAAGGAAAAGAAAGAAGAGGGTGTGTAAACCCAAAAACGAGTTGATTATCTATTCAAACTTAATCTGAATACAGAAAGAATGTATTGTTTCATAGCTATCTCTTCATCAATCTCTATTTCTGCCCTGCTTTTTGTCTGCATTTTGCATTTTTTGTATCTTTATCTCTATATAGCATTTATATTCATATTGATTTCGAGGTTTCTCTCTCTACCTATCTCATTGTGAGTACACCATTGTGTCCTTCACATGATCCACCCAATAGCTCATGTTTCTTAGTAAACCCGGTCAAAGGCGGCCTATTCCCCGAAACCCCTATTTTCTTCTATTTTCTCTATCTAAATAATATTTATCAATATATTTCTTTAGTCAATAACCCATTTTAACGACATCCTAAATCACCAAATCATGCCATTTTCTCCTAATTTATCTCTCGAAAACTCCAATGTCTATATTAAATCGTTATTTATATTTTTTGTGCATTTGTTATATATTTTGTATAGACTATGTCTTACAAAGCTTGATTAATATATGTATTAAGGAATTTGATCATATATGCCTTAAGGAACTTGATTTCTATTTGGGTTCTCCAAATACTGTTTTTTAATTCCACATTTCTGGATTTTTTTTTTAATTTGGTTGCCTCTGCCCAGGAAACTATAATATGTAGAAATTTATTATTTTCTTGTCTCACACAGTTCTATGTTTTTTATATGTAGAATATATGATATGTAGATTTTTATGTTTATTTTATCAATTGATATTAGCTACGCAACCGAGGAGGTTCTCTCTCTTTGTTTATTAAAATACAATATTATCTCTTGTCATCTTTATAAATGTCAAATCTAGGTGTGCAAGGCATAAACCATGCAAAAAGACCAGAGGGCTCATCTACCTCTATGGAGATCAAGGAGAGGTACGACATATTTTTATTATCATCTAATTAATTTAGTTGATACTTTTTTAATTTAAATTTTTATTGTATTATTAAATTTATAGTTTTTTAATGTTATTGTATTGTTTACAATGGCTACTTATTATGCTAATAAATTTCATTTCCGAGTAAAAATATCACTCTTATCGATGAATCCACTAAAGCCATTATGGAAGCCGGTCCTACTATGCGACATGGAGGAAACGAGAGTGAAGTCAAGGAGGACGATGACAGGAGAACAAAGATAAGAGAAGACCGATATCACGATCTTGCCATGCATGAAGAACTGAGATTGAATTTTTCGACCAAGAGAGGAGGAGGTATAATGCCTCCATGGCCTGTAAGGAGGGAGAGTATGCTCGTAAACCCAATGTAAAAGAGAAGGGTGTACTTAGTTGGCCAAAAACATTTATGAGGCAGAGGAACTAACGAACATCTTGTATAGTTATGGGTTTCTTACAAATTTGTAATTTTTTGTCTTTATAGTTGGATATGTACTTTGTAGCAATTCGACTATGTAAAACTTCATAATGAAAAAATATCTGCATTTTGATTTATTTTATGTAATTTGATAAAAAAAATTGGTTTTTCTTGCTCATATTTCACAAATGTAATGAAATGTAATTTTGCATAATTATGGTTCCCTTGCAACTTTGTATCTTGATGTCTTCGTCATTCGATATAGACTTAAAAGCGGTTCGACAATGTTAAACTTCTACAGTGAAAAATGTCAAAAAAATGTCATGATTTGTAACCTTGCAATTATGGTTCGAGGAACCAAGTTTCATCACAAAGGTCTTAGACATCCTTCAAGCTTTAAGGGCTCAACTCAAATGTTAATGGCTAAATTTTCAAGATTCAAGCATTCAATTGCTTCACATACTAAGAAACATGATTATTTTTTTGTATTTGTTTGGATAAAAAATAAAAACATAATTAAAAAATAAAAATAGATCACTTTTGGGAAGGTTTAGTGTCGGACAGAGCCTCAGGATAATAGACGGTTTGGTACCGGACTGGCCACAAAATGTGTCGAACCAAGCTGATGATAATATAAGCTTTTTGTGCTGGACCAGCTACAAAATGTTTTGAACTGAGCCTCAGGATAACATAAGCTTTTTGTGCCGGAGTGAGCCTCATGATAGCAGAAACTTTTTGTGCCAGACCAGACCTCATGATAACATAAATTTTTTGTGTTGAACCGGTCCTCATGATAACATAAGCTTTTTGTGTTGGACTACCACAAAAGGTGTCGAACGGGCCTCTAGGCAACAAAAGGTTTGGTGCCTTTTGCTACCGAACGCCACAAAATGTGCCGGACTGGGCCTCAGGACTATAAGTGTTTTGTGTCGGACCACGCCTCAGGATAATATATTGTTTTTGTATTTGACTGAGCACAAAATGTGTCGGACTGGCCTTCTGGGCATCGGAGTAATTGTGCATATAGAATGAGTCTTGCTTTTCTTTTCTTTTATTTTTGGTGATGTCTGGGGTACTATTATATTAATGTTGGAAGCTAAGGGGTACTATTGAAAGCGCAAACCATAGGCCTAGTTCGTAGGGGAGAGAGAAACGCACACACATATACACACACGCGAATAGAGAGAGAGAGTGAGATAGCAAAGTCAGGGGATAGAGTGAGAGATGAATTGCAATTTCATAACATTACAATGGGGCAACACTACACTTTCATTATAAGCTAAAATGTAACACAATATTAATTTGCAATGGAGGAAAAGTCTACAAAATTCCACTTGCAACATGAATTTGCAACATATGGAAACTATACAAAATTCTTCTTGTTTTGAATTCTTCTCTCTCTTTAAAAGGGGCTATGGCTTCCTTGGGCTATGTTGAGAAAGGGAAGGAGGTGAAGAAGGATTTTCTTGTCCCATTTTTTGGGAGCAATGATATGAGCTTGTATTGCTCATGTTCTTGGGCCATCCGAAGTGAAGCGGGTAAATTGTGATTTTTTAATGATCTTAAATTCTTGGCGATGTTTCTTCATCAATTTTTTCCTTTTGAAGTAACATTGTATCCCCTTATAATTTTCTATTTTGATAGTGGAATACTTGCCGGTTTGCCCGTGGACGTATCCCTACAGGGTGAACCATGCTAAAATTCGT